ATTTTAAATCAATTGTGAATACTTCCATATCAATAACTATGGCTTCACTGTTCTTGAAGTTTTTCCTATATTCCTTTGTAAAAATTTCCTTCACATTGTGGCCCCTCCCTATCCCTGGAATCATGATTTGAACAGATGTGAATCTACACAATCTAGTGATGCTGCCATATCAATATAACTTAACTATGGCCTTCCATTTTACAGAAGAGGATTTTTCTGATAGATTCCTATAAAAAAAACCTTGTTTATGTATTTCTATGTTCAACTTTGATCCCCCATTAGGACCCCACCCTACCCCCGGGGGTTACGATTTGAACAAACTTAATTTTACACTACCTGAGGATGCTTCCAAATAAAGTTTTATTTTTCCTTGCCCAGTGGTTCTTGAGAAGATTTTTTAAAGATTTTTTCTTTAAAACTTTGATTTTCCGTTGTGGCCCCTTCCTATCCTCGGGGGGTCATGATTTTTAATAAACTTGATTCTACACTACCCGAAGTTGCTTCCACACAAGTTTGATCTTTTTCCTGGCCCAGTGGTTCTTGAGGAGAAGATTTTTTAAAAAAAACTTTTCCTGTGTATTTCTACATTAAACTTTGATCCCCCATTGTGACCCCAACCTATCCCAAGGGGTCACGATTAGAACAAACTTAAATCTACACTACCTGAGGATGCTTCCACATGAGTTTCATCTTTCCTGGCAGTGACTTGAGAAGATTTTTAAAAGACTTTTCCTATGTATTTCTATGTTCAACTTTGATCCCCCATTGTGGGTCTACCCCGAGTGGTTCTTGAGAAGATTTTTAGTTTTTTCCCTATATGTTTCTATGTAAAAATTGGATTCCCTATTGTGGCCCCGCCCAACCCCCAGGGGTCATGATTTGAACAATTTAGAATCTACACTACCCCAGGATGCTTCCACATAAATTTCAGATTTTCTGGCCCACTGGTTTTTGAGAAAAAGATTTTAAAAAGATTTTTCCTATGTTTTTCTATGTTCAACTTTGATCCCCAATTGTGGCTCCACCCTACCCCAGGGGTCATGCTTTGAACAATTTAAAATCTACACTACCCCACTGGCCCAGGATGCTTCCACATGAATTTCATCTTTCCTGGCCCAGTGGTTCTTGAGAAGAAAATTTTTGAAAGATGCCATTACTTTTTCACTAATTCATAACTATCTCCCCTTGGAAGAGGGTGTGGCCTTTCATTTGATCCCCTTCACCTAAGGATACTTTGTGGCAAGTTTGGTTGAAATTGGCCCAGTGGTTCTTGAGAAGAAAATGAAAATGTAAAACGTTTATGACAATGACAACTACAACAACAATGACGATGACAGACAAATTTTGATCAGAAAAGCTCACTTGAGCCTTTGGCTCAGATGAGCTAAAAAAGTGAAATTGAAACTTAAATTGGTAATTGGGTAACTCTTACATTATATATTCCTGAAAGTGAAAGATTTTTTGTACTACCTAATCATTATGTATACACTGTATCTGAAAGTAAAAGTTACCTACAAATTTGTTCTCCTTGTGGCTTGTCTTATTTCTCAGTGAAAAACTAAATAATTTAGCATTAATTTTATTAGATTATCTTAACTGAAAGGAAAATTATACAATCTTTTAGTGGTTCTCTGAATTTGTTATTTTTTCAATTTTCTAAGTGCCAGAGGCAGTTCAAAGGGATTATACGATATATATACACAGGGAAATTTTCACCCCCTTTGTTTTTCTCTCAATTTGTTGAATTTAAATCTTGGCAAATTCAAAGAACACAGTATACTTTCTTAAAAAGTACAGTGAATCGGCAAACTCAAATCTGACAAAATGATTTGCAAGTGTGAAAGGGCAAAAATAACATGTGGTGAAAATTACCCTGTTTACAGTATATATAATTACTAAGAGATAATTCATAACAATGTATCAATTTTGCTGAAAGATAGTGGGATCATTAAGATTCGGTTCCAAACTAACAGTAGTGTGTTTTGGTATAATATTTAATGTCTACTGGACATCAGTAATTAAGTGACATACAGAGTTTATAGTGACAGCCATTGGATATATTTCTTTTGCACAAGAGATCCTTCTTGCTAAATTTTATAAAAGTCACACTGGTGACCTCCTCAGCTTGTTTCAAAAAATGTCTTGACATTTGGCCCAGTCTCTCTTCCAGTATTCTTCTTTATATAACCAGTCCTCCTTTCCAGTGCATGGACTCACTCCATATGAAAACCACCTACAATGTGAAGAGGCAGTTCTATTAATGCCAGTCTGTTTGTCTGCAAAAACTTTAACCTTGCCCATAACTTTTGATTTAGTGGAGCTACTACTTTCATATTTCACGTGTATTCCTTGTGACAAGACCTTTCTTTGGGTACCACCAAATTTGACCTTTTGACCTTGACCTTGGAGTTTGACCCACTTTTACACAAAAATTCCAAACTTTTACTTTGGCCATAACTTTTAAATGGTAAAAACTAGGACTTTCAAACTTCACATATTTATTCTTTGTGGCAAGACCTTCATTGGATACACTCAACTTTGACCTGTCGACCTTGACCTTGGAGATTTATGTACTTATGAAAAATTTTTAACCTTGGCCATAACTTTTGAACAGTAAGGACAAGGGCTTTCATATTTCACATATGTAGTTCTTGTTAGAAGTCCCTTCATTAGATACCAAGAACTTTGACCCTTTGACCTTGGATTTTGACCTACTTTCAACAAAACAAACATTGACTATAACTTTTGAAGGGTTAGGGCTAGAGCTTTCATACTTCACATATTTAATCCATGTGACAAGAACTTTCATTTAATATCAAGAATTTTGACCCTTTGAACTTAACCTTGGAGTTTGACCTACTCTTTAAAAACATTAACCTTGGCCATAACTTTTGAACGGTAAAGGCTAGGGCTTTCATACTTCACATATGTAATCCTTGTGACATTAGACCAACAACCTTGATGCTTTAACCTTGGAGTTTGACCTGCCTTTCAAAAACTTATCCTTGGCTTTGGCCCCATCCCTCAGGCCCCAGGGGGGCAGGGACCATGAAATTCACAATTTTTGTTCCCCTTCACCCATAGATGCTGTGTACCAAAATTGGTTGAAATTGGTTGAGCGGTTTCAGAGAAGAAGCTGAAAATGTTCAAATGTTAATGCACGATGGACGACGACGGACAACAACGGATAGCAATAGGTCACCTGAGTTTACTCAGTTATTTATAGAACGACCTGAGAATGTTGGAAAAACCCACATGTGCATTAACAAGTGTATTGCTTGCATCGTTCGTACTATCTGACAGCCATCAATTACATTTTTATGGTTATTAATTAATATTGTCATCAACTACAAGCTTGATACTAAAGTAATATACCAGTCATTAAATTGCAATGGAAAAAAATTGACAGCTAGGCTATTGCATCATACCCTGTTGAGTTCACAACATTGAGTTGGCGGGAGATCGTGATCACGTTACCACCATGCAAAAACGGCCTTAGGAAATCACTGCTTTTAGCTGCTGTTTAAACAGTTTGTAAGGTAAAATACATTTAATCAATATTCCTACGAACTATCTGGCCCGATAACGTACTCCCAACAGAGTTCTCTTTCTTTCATTTAGATCGACTTATCTACACGGTGGCACTGTTGACACATACGGTCAGAAGATATTCTTCCGCGTTCTCACAAGAGTTTATTCAATTTAGTTTTTTTTATTTGGTTTATCTTGTCTTCGGTAGCGAAAATTATATGAAAATAACAAGGTTTTTGATTAAGAACTTGTTGAGTAATTTTCACAACAAAGGTAGAATAGAATTAAAGAAAAGACGAGGACTACTTTATCTTGCTCATGTTTACTAGAATACATAGTAAACTCTTTGCCGTAAAGATACACCGGGAGCTATATGGCTTCGTAAGCCATAAAAACCATGACTTTTCATACAAACTCAACACAGATCCCCCAGTTTCGAGGATGAGGTCAGCGTTTTCTAGGAGGGATCCAAGGTCACTTTTACTTAGTTATGTGTAAGTATTTAATTACTCTGCAAATTCCAGCCGACCCCCCTCCATCTAGATTGATTGATTGTATATTGTTTAATGTCCCTTTCGAGAATTTTTCACTCATATGGAGAAGTCAACGTATGCCGATGAAGGGCTTCAAATTTAGACCTATACTCGGCATTCAGGGCCATTGAGCAGTAAGGGTTCTTTATCGACCAAGTGCCTACTGTGACACAGGATCTCCGTTTTTAAGGTCATATCCGAAAGACCCATGACTTTCACTTCTAATGCCGAGTGCCTGGCGAAGGAACAGTCACTACCTATTTCTACATCTTAGGTTTGATGCGGCACCGCGAACGAGAAGGCTCTACCACTAGGCTACCGTGATCAGTCCCTCCACCTAGATCCCTGCAAGGATGAATACCGGATAAACAGACAAAGGAGTTAATATAATTAAATGTTCATATAATATACCAATTCCACAAATTCATATCAAATCGCAATCAGCTCAGAGGAGAGAAAAAATGTGAAAACATTACAAAGTGTGAAAATAATCTATGTACAGTATCAGTCTTACTGAGTAAACATAACTTGCATGTAGCATATTTACACATCTTAAATACCAAGCTAGCATATCAATTATGATCTATAAAGGCAACGGATTTAGATATACGAGATAATTCTGATATTCTGGGGCACCCCATGTACTAAATAATTTCTGTCATTTTAATAGTTTGATACCCCCTTTTGATCTGAAACTGTAAGTCGGTTCAAGTGTAAATAAAGGGCAGTTGTATGTTATGAAGTTTAAGATCTACAGTCCCTGAAACGTTCTACTTTCCCATTTTTCCTTTCACTCACCGTTCGTTCAGCGTTTGTTCACCGTTCGCTCTTCGTTCACAGTATTGCATTCACCGTTCACCGTGCGCTGGCTTTCACCGTTCACAAAACTTCACCGTTTGCTCTTCGTTCCGTTTATTTTGCATTCACCGTTCACTCATCATTCAGTCTTCATTGTCATTCGGAACTTCGAAGTGAAAGGACTTATCTTTTTGATGGTAAGGATTTACACGTTTTTTTAATTAAATAACTTAGATATCGTGTTTGAAGATTAATTATTTCATTGCAAAAATTATCTATGATATTTATATTTCTATTATTAAAACCCAGCTGTAACTTATTTCATGAAATTTTAACTGGAAAATAATACATCAAGTACCTACATGTATGTAGAACGATGCTAAAATATTAACTTTAAAAAAGAGCAATTTATGCACAGCATCAATTTGTTGTAATTTTGAAGACGACAAATCATTAATGGATGTATAATAATTAATCCAAGTCTTTTACAAGAAAAGAATACACAAAAAATTATTTCTACAGTTACACCTATTTTAAACTACACGTAGGTCTGAGAATTATGAACAGACGTACTGCAAATATTCAGTTAATTAAATATCTTTAGAGCTAATTAAATTGACAGTGTGATTTTAAATTCTAGAAAAGACCAACTGTTTAAAATAGTCTATTATTAGAGAAAGAAAATTCCTTCCTTCACCGTACCTAAACATATGTTTAAATATATGTTTGCCATTCAGTATAATTAAGAAAATCAGTCTTAAAACCAACAGTCATTAAACAATAGTATTTAAGAATACACTTGTGCCGACAGTAATTTTAAATTGGCAGGGAATATGTTTCAAATTCAATTTAAAACTTAATCCTTCCAAGTATATATTCCCATTCTTTATTTATTTTTTCTGCAGGAATGCAAAAATCAGATCTAGAAATGATAGGGAAAAATATTAAAACTTCTTGGAAATTCTAAGTGACTCTTTGCCTTCGGCACGTTCGGTGAAACGCGATTTCCACACCTCCACTGTGTCAAATGATTTTGATTGACAGGACAAGCACACTACTAGCACGTGGACTTCCTGTGAACCGTGTGAATTTGATGTAGGAAAATAAAAGCCAATGATTACTGTCAAATGGATTTGTTAATCTAAAAAAATTGATTACCTTTACTGCTTGGAATATTTAGAAAAAATAATAAGAATTTTTATATGATGCAATAGATATCTGTAAATTGAGGGAATATCTCTCTCTCTCTCTCTCTTGCACATTTCTCTGTTCAATAAAAACTATGACAGCACATCTTTTATTTAGTTTTGAAAATTTAATCTATTACTAATAATTTGAATGCCTCTTTCCATCATCTTGTCCGTGTATAATTACGGCCGGGAAATGTCTACAGATACATGTAGAAGTTAGCTAAAATAATCATCAAAAAAGACACATAAATATAGAATATTTTGCTTTAGAATTTAAAAAAACGAGAGTTTTTATGCAATACGTGTACAGACAATTGTGAATTTAAAAAAAAATCTGTTATTTTACTCAGAATGGAATCGCCTTGGCACGGAAATACATGTATGGTTGTTTCAACCACGTACAATGTAATTAATTCATTCTATAAGTAGCAGTTTTATCTTCAGAAGTCCACATTATTTTATTAGTGAAAAGAATAAGCATATTTACTACATAAATAGATTAATTTTATATTTAATCTACATGTGTTCGGTAACAAATACAGTGGCGCCTCATTTATCCGGACGCTTTGGTTCCCAGGCAAATTGTCCGGATAAGTGAAGCGTCCGGATATCTGAATTCTATTGATTTCTCTTCCAGGTATACTGTATTTGTATTCTAACTCATACATAAAGAAAGATAAATGCTATCATATAATAATTCATTTTTTTTTAAAAACTATATCTTTAGTATACATCAGCACTACTTTTACACTTTTTTTTCAAATATGATAAATATTTTTATAGCTAAAAACTAAATGCCGACTCGCGCTCTCTTTGCCGGTGGTGTAGACATGGTTGTAGCTGGAGAGCAGAATGACAAACATTGGATATAACGCTGCTTATATGGGCAGATTTTTCATTACCCAGCTTAGTTTTTAATTTCTACTTCCTATAAATTGATGAACATAGCCAAGCGAATTCTCTCATTTGCAGCTTTGATTACACCCAAGCGAGCTGTCAGTATCGAGTCTAATTTTAATTTGAACACTCATCCACACTAAATCTGACATATTAAAAATTCATGCAGTAATCATCCCAAGCGAACTCATTGATTGTATAAAATTATTCAAATTTTATTGAATGTTTTAGGTTTTTTTTTTTTCGATGAGAACTGCCACCAATCTACAGATGAAAATTACAAT